CAGTAAGGAGATTGCTGGATTAAATGGTAGGTCTTTAGGTCTTTGAGATCACCACACTGCTTTCTACAATGGTTGAACTGATTTACACTCCCACCAACAGTGTATAAGTGTTCCTTTTTGCAACATCACCAGCATCTATTATTTTTTTACTTTTCAATAATAGCCATTCTGACTGGTGTGAGACAGTTTCTCATTGCGGTTTTGAGTTCCATTTCTCTAACGATCATAAATTCCTATTTTCAAACACAGTGCCATCTAATACTGTCTTTGATTTTCACCACTTGGAAGAATGTTAAGTAGATGCCAACATTCTTTGAGATTTGCCCATTGCAAAGAGGAAACCTTGCTTCCAAGAATTTGTATGACTTGTCTGAGGTCACAGTAAAAAAAACAACGGAACTGGGCCCAGAATTTTCATCCTGTAACCATTAAGCCAATGTTCTTAATTTCTTCCAAGTAAATTTGGGGAAGAAGAAATATTAGCATTACCAATCTACGATTCTATATGGCATCATATTTCACATTTTCCTAGGGGAAAGCAGAGGAAAATGCTGCTGAATTGTGTATGAATTAGATAGAGTGGAGCTTTCATAGCATGATTTTGAGCTGTTTAAGCCACATTGCTTTGTTCTTACAGACACATTACTAACAACTTATATAACAATTCCCTAGGTCTTTAGAAAAAAGGAAAATGCAAAATATTCATCATGAACCACACTAAAAGCTCTGTGTTAAATGGAAATGCCTAACGCAGTTGTGTTTAAGCTCTGTGATATACTAATGTTCAAAGGCCTAATTGAGGAAATAAATCTCAAACATAAGATAGATTCACAATGGGGGACCCAAACAGATAAACTTTTATTTAGTCCTCACTATTAAGGTTTTTGCAAAATATAATGAAATAACCAAGAAGAAATCATGGCCTGAGAGTGAGAGACTTTCAGTTATACAACAATGAAGACACCTTCCTTAACAGGATCCTCACACTTTCATTTTTGTTTTTGCACAAAGCTGGTGGAAGGGGCCTCGGCTAAGACATCAAGGTTTCTCTGATGGATTGCTCTTTTGACAATACTACTATCATTCCGTGAATGTTAAACAACAGAAATATGAATGTCACACTGAAACTCGTTGTGGTTTTACGTACAAATTGCCAGCATCACCTAGAAACAAAGATGACTCTCAACTTGCTAACAATTGAGTATCTTAGAGTTCCCTTTGTTTGTCTTACATTTTTGTGGTCTTCAATGAAATGGTATATCCTTCAAGTAAAAACTGATCCAAACTTCTATGATATGCAATATGAAAGGATAATTCATCCACAATAACATGTCGATAAATGGAAAGACAACAGCAATTCTCCTTGAGTAGGAGAACAACTGCTAGCAAGCCCCATTAATGTGAAAATCAACATATCTTATAATCCAATCTACTAAAAATACAAACCTCACCAGTGTATTCAACAGGGTTCTCTAGAAGTTCAGAACTAATAGGATAGATATATATACAAAGGGGAGTTTATTAAAAAGTATTAACTCACACGGCCACAGGTCCCACAATAGACCCTCTGCAAACTGAGGAGCAAGGAAGCCAGTCTGAGTCCCAAAGCTGAAGAACTTGGAGTCTGATGTTCAAGGGTAGGAATATTCCAGCATAGGAGAAAGGTGTAGGCTGGGAGGCTATGCCAGTCGAGCCTTTTCACATTTTTCTGCCTGCTTTATATTCTAGCTGTGATGGCACCTGATTAGATGGTACCTATCCAGATTAAGGGTAGGTCTGACTTTCCCAACCCACTGACTCAAATGTTAATCTCCTTTGGCAACCCGCTCACAGACACATCCAGGACCAATATTTTGCATCCTTCAATCCAATCAGTTGACACTCGGTATTAACTATCACACCTGGCTATGAACTCTGATCATCCAAGTTGGTTCTGCTCATCTGCTCACCTGCTTGGTCAATACCCTCCTCTTCCTTCTTCATTGCTCCATGGATGTCCTCCTGAATTTGAGTACTTAATTCCATGCGGAAACGTTTTAAGACCAGGTGGGATTCATCAGTTTACATTAGAATTTGGTGACATAAATGTCTGAGCATCTGTGAGGTATCCATGAACTCAACACAATTATAACTTGTATGCTATTGTCAGTCTATAGGATGTGAATGTTTTCACTTACTTCACAAATGAACTTAGATTCTTCTTTGGATGCTGGTGGTAACAAACTGAATCAAGCAACTATCTAGAATGACATCAGAGGGAACTGTCAGATTTTTTTATCCCATGCCCTTCTGGTATCACTTTTCTGATACCCACATTCTTATCCCATCCCACAAGATTTCTAATATCCACAGTTTTATCAGTTTCCATTTCTTCAACTGAGCATTCCAAGACTTTCTGAAGCAGCAATTACAACTGCTTTAGAGACTTCAGCATTTATGCATTAATGCAAATAAATGCAAAGAGAAGAGACCAAATTCCTTCTTTAATTTTGACCTTACTAATGTTTATTTCCTGGAATTTAAGGATCTTCATGTATAATTTTTATTATACCTACTGTATCTCTTAATGCCTCACATTCAGTAGATTGCACTTTACTTCATTCTCCAAAACCCACCAGGATCTGGATCTCAAAAAGTAATTTCTCTCAAGGTAATTTCTTCTGCTATGGACTAAGGAAGTCAGCTCTGTAACTTCAAAAGCTGAGAATTTCTTTCTCTTTGTATTTCTGTGGTACCACTATTCAGTGAGCAGTAAATATGAAAAAGAATTCATAGCTACCAGAATGAAAAAATATAAAGGGTGGTGGGAAATACTGATTAAAAAAAATAGTAAAGAGTCGATAAGATTGTGCCTTCACATCATTGCATATCCTGACTTAAAACATCCTTTGTTCAACAACCAGTCTATCACACTAGAAGGCAATATATCACTAAAGAAGTTTAAAGTATTTATTTAAATGTCAGACGAGCCACATGATCCAAGCTGCCTAACCGGAAGTCTCATTGTCTTCATGAGATCCTCCTCCCTGCACATGGCATGTGCCCCCATGTACAATATGCTTGAAGCACAAGATCTTACTTAGTCTGATGAGAGCTCAGTCCTGTGTCCAAGCAGGTACTCAATAAGTTCAATGCTGCTGTTGCTTCTCTTTTCCACACTGTGCATGCTGTGAGTGATCCTACACCATCTGATCTGCTAATCCTGGGATTAGTAGATCCCAGGATGCCTTTTTTGGTCCAGGTCCCAAGACAAGCCACAACAGAAGACTCAAGTTGAATGTTGGGACAGCAGTTTATTTTATTTCATACTCTCATGGTCAGCTAGTGGTCCTCACACACAGCCACTGTGCTACCGTGGCTGAAATGAGAGAACTTTCTAGCATCAGTTGTATTGGAACAACATCACACTTTGAATTCTTGGGTCCATCCCTTGAGTTTGAGTCTCCAACCTTGACTCATGCTTTTCTCAAAGAAATTCTGTTTCAAGGCCGGGCGCGGTGGCTCATGCCTGTAATCCCAGCACTTTGGGAGGCCGAGGCGGGTGGATCACGAGGTCAAGAGATCAACACCATCCTGGTCAACATGATGAAACCCCGTCTCTACTAAAACTACAAAAAAAATTAGCTGGGCATGGTGGTGCGTGCCTGTAATCCCAGCTACTCAGGAGGCTGAGGCAGGAGAATTGCCTGAACCCAGGAGGCGGAGGTTGCGGTGAGCCGAGATCACGCCATTGCACTCCAGCCTGGGTAACAAGAGCGAAACTCTGTCTCAAAAAAAAAAAAAAAAAAAGAAATTCTGTTTCAAGATCTTTAATTCCCTTTCCTGTCACTGGACCTCAATTAGTGCTACCATAATACACATCAACAAATCACCTAGCTGGTCTTGGGAAGAAAAAAGTCTTTTCTCACAGAAAGTTTTTTTTTTTTGTTTTGTTTTTTGTTTTTTTTTAAAGCCAGGTTAACTTCAATCAACGTGCCCTGGGCCCTGTGAGGAGGTTTACCTGTCCTTACAGTCATTGTCATTTGGGCCAAGAGGGTCCAGTAAAAAGGAAAACCAACTCAAGCCTTTATAGCCTAAGTCAGAAAACTGTGACCATGTGTCCTTTAGCCCTGTGAGGTCCAAGGCCTCTGCCCTGAGCTCCCTTCAGTCACACCACACAGAGACCGTGCATGCTCTCAGAACTTTCTTAGTGGGGATTGGGCAAGAGAAAACCCCTGAAACAGCTGCCCACCTGGTTCAAGACAACTGGAAGAGAGATGGGCTGCTTGGAGATACCTTTGATTTTTAAAGGGGAGCTGAATGGCTGAACAACTCAGATGATTATTTTTTAAATGGTCAGCTAGTCTCTCGTAAGTCTCTAGGGATATGACCAGACCAGAAGCCCCTGTTCTATATGAAGAAAAACAGGTGCCCATATTTGTGTTGGGTGGAGGGATATCACTACTATTCCCCAGATTTGGTGGAAGGGGACCTTCCATGACAGAGCCTTCTGAGGACATTCCAAGACAGTATACAGTCCTGTGGTCTCCTTGGAAATTGTACAGATAACATTTCAAGGGCAATATCTTGTTGGTTTTGACTGGATATTCACATAAACTTTTCAATTAAAGAGTTGAGTGATAGAGCTAACCCTTATCTGTAAGTTTTGAATTTATATTGTTTCATCCCATGTACAAAACCATTTTTTCCTACAAAAAAAAAAAGGTTCTGCTGCCGCATACCGCAGGACAGTGTGTCAGGCGGGCAACCTGCCCGGCTGCCCCACTGGAGCCCAGGATCCAGGCATCCCCACCGGTGCAGGGAGCCGGAAGGAGGAGCCGTCGCTTCGGTTTGGCTTTTGTTGAAAAAAGAATTTAGCCTGTATGTACTGCTTTAACCACTGGAAGAATGACAGATGACAAAGATGTGCTTCGAGATGTGTGGTTTGGACAAATTCCAACTTGCTTCACGCTTTATCAGGATGAGATAACTGATACACACACACAAAAAAGACATGATGAGAAACCCCAAAATGGAGGACTTTACTACCAGGACCTATGGCACCAGTGGCCTGGACAACAGACCTCTATTCGGGGAGACGTCTGCCAAGGATCAAATCATCAATTTAGTTGTTGGCAGTTTAACATCCTTACTGATTCTAGTAACGCTGATCAGTGCTTTTGTTTTCCCTCAACTACCTCCGAAACCGCTGAATATATTTTTTGCTGTCTGCATCTCTTTGAGTAGCATTACTGCCTGCATACTTATCTACTGGTATCGACAAGGAGACTTAGAACCGAAGTTTAGAAAGCTAATTTACTATATCATATTTTCTATCATCATGTTGTGTATATGTGCAAACCTGTACTTCCATGATGTGGGAAGGTGAGGCTACCAAGGGGAAGTACTTACCAGGGCTCTTCAAAATGATACATTAGGACAGTGAGTAATTTTTGGATAAGGTTATGCTGAAGAATCTCCTGCAGAAGTCTGATACATGATTTTCATGTTAATTGTAAATGTAAAATTCCCTCTTGCAAGGGAGACATATCTTAGATCACTTTGCTTTTTAAAGAGCTGACGTTGCACCTAAACATTCCAACCCTTAAAGCTCAAACAGCACAAGAAATTTTCACTTTAGAAATGAACATTTTTATAATGTGATTGCATGGCAAAAGCCTATGCAACAAACAAAATCTTGTGTTTTAAGACAAATATTCTTTTATTTTGTTAAACTGAATATACGATTGTTCCCTAGGCAACCAACTTTTGCTTTATAACTACAATTTAATTTCACGTTAACAAAACAGTCAAAAGACAACCTTGTGAAGATCTAATTACAATAATAAATAAAATAATTTATACCAAAAAAAAAAGAGGGAGAGAGTAAGTTTCCTTACTCTGTTGAAAGTGCCACCCTCTGTCAAGAGATCAACCAGCACACAACTAGTGCAATAAACAAAACTATAACTAAAGACCCTCACAGAATCCATTTCACTCCCCTGCCACCTCCACCATAGCAGGTGCTGCTATCCCTGATTGAGAGATCCGAAGATGGTTGACGTCACAGGACTCTGTGCAGACACTCCCCCTGTTGGCCCCCAGTACCAGTACAGAGCTTGGTAGCTCCACTGGGTGGCTATATCCAGAACAGAAATAACAATCACTACAGTTTGGCTCTCAGGAAGCCACATCCCTAGGTAAACGGTGTGAGCATGACATCAAGGGAGCATCCCATGGGACAAAATAATCTGAACAGCAGCCCCTGAGGCCCAGATCTTCCCTGTGACATAGTCTACCCAAATGAGAAGGAACCAGAAAAAAAAAATCTGGTAATATAACAAAATAAGGTTCTTTAACACCCCTAAAAGATCATATTAGCTCACCAGCAGTAGATCCAAACCAAGAAGAAATCCCTGAATTGCCAGAAAAAGAATTCAGAAGGTCCACATTAAGCTAATCAAGGAAGCACCAGAGAAAGGTGAAGTCCAACTTAATGAAATTTTTTAGATGATATAAGATATGAAGGGAAAAATCTGCAGTGAAATAGATAGTATAAATAAAAAACAATCACAACTTCTGGAAATAAAGAAGACACTTAAAGAAATGCAAAATGCACCGGAAAGTCTCAGCAATAGAATTGAACAAGCAGAAGAAAGAATTTCAGAGCTTGAAGACAAGGTTTTCATGGCTACTATGAACAATTAATCCAATCTGACAAAAACAAAGACAAAAGAATTTTTTTAAAATGAACAAAGTCTCCAAGAAGTTTGGGATTATGTTCAATGACCAAACCTAAGAATAATTGGTGTTCTCGAGAAAGAAGAGAAATCTAAAAGTTTGGAAAACATACTTGAGGGAATAAGCAAGGAAAACTTTCCCAGCCTTGCTGCAGATCTAGACATCCAAATATAAAAAGCTCAAAGAATACCTGGGAAATTTATCACAAAAAGATCATCACTTAGGCACAGACATCAGGTTATCTAAAGTTAATATGAAGGAAGAAATCTTAAGAGCTGTGAGGCAAAAGGACCAGGTAACCTATAAAGCAAAACCTATCAGATTAACAGCAGATTTCTCAGCAGAAACTCTACAAGCTAGAAGGGGTAGGGTCCTATCTTCAGCCTCCTTAAACAAAACAATTATTAGCCAAGAATTTTGTATCCAGCAAAACTAAGCTTCATAAATGAAGGAAAGATAGCAACCAAGTATCTGCTGTCTTCAAAGACTCACCTGACACATAAGGACTCACATAAACTTACGGAAAAAAGGTGGAAAAGGATATTCCATGCAAATGGACACCAAAAGCTAGCAGGAGTAGTTATTCTTATATCAGAAAAAACAAACTTTAAAGCAACACCAGTTAAAAAAGATAAAGAGAGATATTATATAATGATAAAAGGACTGGTCCAACAGGAAAATATCACAGTCCTACATATATACGCACCTAATGCTGGAGCTCCCAAATTTATAAAACAAGTACTACTAGACCTAAGACATGAGATAGCAATGTAGTAATAGTGGAGGATTTCAATACTCTACTGACATCACTAGACAGGTCATCAAGACAGAAAGTCAACAAGAGCAACAACAATAAAACAATGGATTTCCTCAAGGACCTAGAAATAGAAATTCCATTTGACCCAGCAATCCCATTACTGGGTATATATCCAAAGGATTACAAATCATTCTACTATAAGGACACGTGTACACGAATGTTCATTGCAGCACTGTTTACAATAGCAAAGACCTGGAACCAACCCAAATGCCCATCGACGATAGACTGGATAGGGAAAATGTGGCACATATACACCATGGAATATTATGCAGCCATCAAAAACGATGAGTTTGGGTCCTTTGTAGGGACATGGATGAACCTGGAAACCATCATTCTCAGCAAACTGACAGAAGAGCAGAAGATCAAACACCGCATGTTCTCACTCATAGGTGGGTGTTGAACAATGAGAACACATGGACACAGGGAGGGGAGCACTACACACTGGGGTCAGTTGGGGGGAAATAGGGGAGGGAGGGTGGGGGGTGGGAAGCTGGGGAGAGATAGCAAGGGGAGAAATGCCAGATGTAGGTGATGGGGAGGAAGGCAGCAAATCACACTGCCACGTGTGTTCCTATGCAACAATTTTGCATGTTCTTCACATGTACCCCAAAACGTAAAATGCAATAAAATAAATAAATGGGAAAAAAAAAAAACAATAAAACAATGGATTAAAACTATACCCTGGAACCAATGGACTTAACAAATATTTACAGAACATTCTACCTCAAAACTACAGAATACTCATTTCATTCATCACCACATGGTACATTCTCCAAGACAAACCATATGATAGGCCACAAAACAAGTCTCAACAAATTTAAGAAAATTAAAATTATGTCAAGTACTCTTTCAGACCACAGTGGAATAAAATTGGAAATCAACTCCAAAAGGAACCCTCAAAACCATGCCAATACATGGAAATTAAATAGCCTGCTCATGAATGTTCTCTGGGTCAACAATGAAATCCAGACGGAAATTAAAACATTCTTTGAACTGAACAATAATAGTGATAGAACCTATCAAAACCTCTGGGACACAGCAAAGGCAGTGCTAAGAGGAAAGTCCATAGCCTTAAATGCTTACATCAAAAAGTTTGAAAAAGCACAGACAATCTAAGGTCACACCTTAAGGAACTACAGAAAAATGAACAAACCCAAACCCAGCAGAAGAAAAGAAATAACTAAGATCAGAGCAGAACTAAATGAAATTGAAACAAAAAAATACAAAAGATAAACAGGACAAAAAGCTGGTTCTTTGAAAAGATAAATAACATTGATAGACTATTAGCAAGATTAACCAACCAAAGAAGAAAGAATATCCAAATAAGCTCAATTAGAAACAAATGGGAGATATTAGGATCAATACCACAGATATACAAAAGATTATTCATGGCTACTATGAACACCTTTATGTGCATAAACTAGAAAACCTAGAGGAGATGATAAATTCCTGGAACTCTACAACCTTCCTAGATTAAACAAGGAAGAAATAGATACTCTGAACAGACCAATAACAAGCAACAAGATTGAAATGGTAATAAAAAAATTGCCACCAAAAAAAAGTCCATAACCTGATGGATTCACAGCTGAATTCTGTCAGACATTCAAAGAAGAATTGGTACCAATCCTATTGACACTATTCCATTGGACAGAGAAAGACAGAATCCTCCCTAAATCCTTCCATCATGATCAAGTGAGTTCCATACCAGGGAGGCAGGGACAGCTTAACATACCAAGTCAATAAATGTGATCAAATAAACAGAATTAAAAACAAAAATCACATGATCATCTCAACAGCCACAGAAAAAGCATTTGACAAAATCCAGCATCCTTTTATGATTAAAACCCTCCACAAAACTGGCATACAAGAGACATAGCTTAATGTAATAAAAGGTATCTATGACAAACCCACAGCCAACATAATACTGAATGGGAAAAAGTTGAAAGCATTCCCCCTGAGAACTAGAACAAGACAAGGATGCCCACCCTCCCCACATCTATTCAACATAGTACTGGCAGTCCTAGCCCAAGCAATCAAACAAGAAAAAGAAATAAAGGGTATCTTAATCAGTAAAGAGGAAGTCACACTGTCACTGTTTGCTGATGATATGATCATATACCTAGAAAACCCTAAAAACTCCTCCAAAAAGCTCCTAGAACTGATAAATGAATTCAGCAAAGTTTCAGGATACAAAACCAATGAACGCAAATCAGTAGCTCTGCTATAAACCAACAGTGGCCAAGCTGAAGATCAAATCAAGAACCCAACCTCTTCTACAATAGCAGCAAAAAATAAATAAATAAATAAAATACTTAGAAATATACCTAACTGAAAAGGTGAAAGACCTCTACAAGGAAAACTACAAAATGCTGCTGAAAGAAACCATAGATGACACAAATGGAAACACATTCCTTGCTCATGGATGGGTAGAATCAATATTGTGAAAATAACCATACTGACAAAAACAATCTACAAATTCGATGTAATTCCCATTAAAATACCATCACTCTTCACAGAACTACAAAAAAACAATCCTAAAATTCATATGGAACCAAAAGACAGCCATACAGCCAAACCAAGACTAAGCAAAAAGGACAAATCTGGAGGCATTCATTACATTACCTGACTTGAAATTATGCTGTAAGGCCTTAGTCACCAAAACAGCATGGTACTGGTACAAAAACATATGTATAGACCAATGCAACAAAATAGAGAACCCAGAAATAAAGCCAAATACTTACTGTCAACTGATCTTCGACAAAGCAAACAAAAGCATAAAGTGAAGAAAGGACACCCAATTCAACAAATGGTATTGGAATACTTGGCAAGCCACATGTAGAAGAATGAAACTGGATCCTCTTCTCTCATCTTATACAAAAATCAACTCAAGATGGATCAAAGGCTTAAATGTGAGTTCTGAAATTATAAAAATTCTAGATGGTAACATTAGAGAAACCCTCCTAGATATTGGCTTAGGCAAAGACTTCATGACCAGGAACCCAAAAGCAAATGCAACAATAAGCATGATAAATAGATGGGACATAATTCAACTAAAAAGCTTCCACATAGCAAAAGAAATAATCAGCAGAGTAAACAGACAACCCACAGAGTTGGAGAAAATCTTTACAATGTATACATTTGACAAAGGACAATAAACAGAGTCTACAAAGAACTCAAACAAAATTGGCAAGAACAAAACCCACATAATCCCATCAAAGAGTAGCTTAAGGACGTGAATAGGCATTCTCAAAAGAAGATATACAAATGGCCAAAAGCATATGAGAAAAATGCTCAACATCACTAACCA